TATGGGAGCCATAATGAAAGGGGAAGGGCACAAATGTTTTCCAATCTATTTAGTTTACACTCTGCCTTTCCAGCAGCCTCTTCACTTCCTTAATACTGTCATGTTTTACACCAAAATTGATCTAGTGAACAGTAAAAAAAAAAAAAAGAGAGAGAGAGAGATAATGCAAATATTCAGTTATTTCATTTATATCTTGAGGAAATCAGGTGTTTTACTAATGAGGAAATGGTAAAATCAACTATGATTGTCTTGGTTGCTTTTCTGGGGAAAACTGTCTCTCATTCTCAGCATTCCCTACTTGTCTGTTGTTCTGTGTGCAGGGTTAAGGCTTCATAATCATTTCCACTTCCAAATTAGTGTGTTTACTGGTGTTGTCCTTGTCTATCCCAATCTTAGACAATCACAATGGCAAAAATTTATGTGTTTAGCTTTTGACATTCCTAGAAGACACAATCTCACAAGCTGCTATCTGTTCCCCTGGCTCTTAGCATCTTTCCCCACCCTCTTATGCAATGATCCCCGAGCCTTAGATTTGAATTGTAGATGGATGGGTCGGCACTGGGTTCCACCATGCTGCATTTTGAATTTTATGTATCTTTTGTTCTTTTCCTTCTTGCCATCCTTTACATGATTTCATGTTTTTCTCTAGAGGTGTGTTTTGATTACATCCATTTTTTGTTTTTAGTGTCTATTATATGTTTTTTTGTTTTGTTTTGTTTTGTTTGCAGTTAAAAAGAGTTCTCTGGTTAAAATAATCTATTTTAAGCTGATAATAATTTTGGTTTCATAAAAAATGTTCACTTTACTTTCCACATTTTGTTCTTTTGGAGTCTTAATTTATAACTTTTTATATTGTTCATCCAGTAAAAATAAAATGTCTGAAGCTATCTTTTTAACCTTCCTAGTAAACATATTATTTATTTATAGGCAGTGTTTGCAGAACTTGAATCCTCTGAATTTAACATATATATTTTACCAGTGTGTTTTATTCTTTCATCTATTTTCATGTTGCTAGATTACTGAGCAGCATGTTTCTCTTTAAGCCTGGAGATTTTCCTTCATCATGTATTTATTCTCTAAAGAGGGTTTTGAGGGTGAATAACTCTCAAAAGATTTGCTTGTTTGTGAAAGTCTTCATTTGTTTCTCATTTCTAGACCATGATGCCATATAAAGTGTGTTTGGTTGGGATCTTCACTTTCTTCCTCCTCTGATATCTGGATAAATCATCGTCGGTCTCCGAAACTGTGAACATTCTACCTAAAAATCTAATGCTGAGCAGAGTGATATTTCGTTATGCATGATGGTTTTCCTGATGATTTCATAATCTGTCTTCATCTTTTATTTTCAACCAATTGATTATAATATGTGATTTGGTCTCGTTCTGATTGAGACTAGATCGCTTGTCCTTTCAATATCTTGGCATTTGAATCCACCCATAGATTGAGAAATGTTCATCTATTATTGATTTAAGTGATCTTTCTGTCCATTGTCTGTCTTTTTCTTACTCCTAAAATTAGAACATTTGTTCTTTGTTACTTCCCTATAAATCATCTGTGCATTCTCATCATTTTTTTGCTCTTTTCTAGTTTTTATTATCACAGATATATTATTTTTGCATAATTATAATATCAAAGAAGAGCATTCTCATCATTTTTATTATTCACACTTTACAGATTTTATTCTGCTCTGATAAGTGTAGTTTTTCCTACTCTGATAGATGCTGCTACTAATATACTTAATTTTATTGCCAACTAAAAAATTTTCTCTTTACATTTATTTTAATAATTTCAATTAGTCTGTTAATTTTTATCTCTATTCTGTTTGAATTTTCTATTTCCTTAAACATATCTGAATTTTCATAAATAATCATTTAAAATTATTTGTCAGTTTGGGTATCAGTCTTCAGGGCAGATGCTAGGGGATTAATTATGTCTGCGGTGATCTTCCTCTTGATTTTGCTGTAATTCTTGTTACTTTATGTAGTTGTCCATGTGTTCCATAAAGCAATTGTTTCTGTTAGATTTTACAAACTAATCTTGATGTAGTTTTATTTCCCAATCTTTTTCCCAATGGGGCAGCCAGGCCCTAGGGATACGGCTGCTATGTAGTCTCTATGCACTGTTGTCCAAAATCAGTGAGTGAGAAGAGGGCAGGGGGATACTACAGAGATCATTAGCAGCCAAAGCTCTGGATATCTGCTATGGCAGTGAATGATGGCGAGTATGGTAATCAGGTTTGGCCAATCACATTTTTCCTCTTACCAGGAAAAGAAATTGTAGCTGAGACAATACTATTTGGCACTGGGTTTGTCTTTCAGGCTATTTCACAATGCTTGCAACATCAATCCAATGTAGAATCACCTACAGAGCTCATGTCCAAGGCACCAGGACATGTGGGTGGGCTATGTCTTTGGTGTCTGTGCAGTAACTCACCAGTTTTTGTAATAGCATATTTGTGTTGATCATAGTATGCACATCAGATGTGCTGTGAATGGGAACCCAAACATGCTTAGAGTTTCAACAGCTAGGGACCAGATCACAGGCACATGGATACATGGAGACAGTGGGGTCTAAAAGACCAATGCAAACGGTTGCACTGTGGCAGTGGCCTATTTTGGTTATGGGATTATATACTGCAGCTACAGAACACATGCTCAAAGTGTGGGCTCTCTTTACTGGCCTTAGCTTAGGATTGCCACATGCCTCTATTTGGGAAAGCTGGTAACAAAAACGGCTACTTCTTGAAGCTTGCTAGCATCCAACCACATCTAAAAGAGGCACATGGGTCTCCTTACATGACTATTTTTGAAGTATTTATTTATTTTCAATGGTCTTTATAATTGGGTTTATTGGGCTACCTTTTTGAAGAGTAAATCACTCTGACTCTGCAAAAAGGTTCTTCCATTTCCGTGTCATCGCAGTGTACTGCACTGAGAAATGGTTCCAGCACATTCTTTCTCCCCTGTCCCCAACTGTAATACTTTCTTTAATGAACTTAAACAAAAATGCATAAGAAAAAGTCCCTCGTTAAGATCTGTAGACTTGGAGTTCTAATTAGTGTACTTCTGTGGCTCTTTCCTTGCCTGTGAAACGGTGATAAGCATTCAGCTTACCTCCAAGGACTTCTGACTTACTTCTTAATTAATAAGGAAATGATGAAGCAAGCTTGAGTCTCAACTGATATCTCTATTCTTTTAGGTTTGCCATTGCACCACGTAGGCCTTTTGCTTTGCCCATGTATACCCATCAAGGCCAAATAATTCCTACAAGGCCACATGTACTTCTGTCCATGTATGTGATTTTATACGGTCCAGGACTACTCTATGCCTCACATAGACTCAGAATGTGAAGATATCTAGTTACCTAATATCATCAGTCTACCTTTTTTACCTCTATACATGTTTCTAAAATCCTACCAACACAAAACATTCTATGATCCTTGGCAGGAATGTCATGCATTGAAAATAGTAGACATAAGATTGAATTTAAAACTCTGCACTGTCATGGGTAAAACTGTTTACTGACCACTTGAGGTGTTTGCTTTTAAGTAAGTAATTACGTGCACATAAGTAATGACAGGTAATATTCCGAATTCAAATGCTTGGGGCCAAGAGTATTTTGTAATTAGATTTTTTAACCCTTTAGGATTTTACATGTTCCTAATAAAATAATTTGGAAATGGGACACAGTTCTTACATGAAATTCCTTTATGTATCATAAGCACTTTGTGTGTGAAGCCTGTAAATAATTTTATATAGTATTTCCATGTACCTCTACTGTCACTAAGATGTGTCATATAAAGTCACTTATGGAAATTTTCATTTACACTCTCATGTTCTGATCTAAAACACATTGATTTTAAGAGATTTAGATTGGAGTTTTAGGAATAATTATGTATAGAACAATGGTAGAAAATGATTTCAAGTTATATAAGCTGTCAAGAAAAAAAATGTTTTTAAAGTCTTTTAAATAATTGTTTTCTTTTTTTCCACTTGATCAATTTAGTTGTCTCCCTGTTTCACCAATCAAAGGGACAGGGAGACAGAAGGCATTTAACAAATTAGAATATTTATTTATTTATTTATTTATTTGTTTGTTTATTTTTTTGTTGAAATGTATTCACTTTGTATCCCCACTGAAGCCCTGTCTCTCTTCTCCTCCCAGTCCCACCCACCCTCTCTCGTCTCTCCATATGCCCTTCTAGCTGACCCTTGCCAATCAGGTCTCATCAGGGTTGGGTGCATCATCTTGCTCTGTAGCCTGGCAAGGCTGCACCCCCTATGGGGAGGTGATCAAAGCGCCAACCACTGAGTTCATGTCAGAGGCAGCACCTGTTTCCTTTACTAGGGAACCCACTTGGAAACTGAGCAACCTGTGGGCTTCCTCCGAGCAAAATGTCCAGGTCCTCTTCATGCATGGTCCTTGGTTGGAGTATTGGTTTCTGCAGGGCCACCTGAGCCCTGGTTTTTTTGGCTCTGTTGTTCTCATTGTGGAGTTCCTGTCCCCTCCAGGTCTTTCTATCTCCCTCTTCTTCCTTACAGTTTCTGGCATGCTGCCCAAAGTTTGGCTATGAATCTCAGTATCCCCTTTGATACCCTGGTGGGTAGAGTCTACACAATGGAATTCTACTCAGCAATTAAAAACAAGGAATTCATGAAATTTTGAGGCAAATGGATGGAACTAGAAAACATCCTCAGTGAGGTAACCCAGAAGCAGAAAGACACATATAGTACATACTCAATTATAAGTGTATATTAGCCATATAATATAGGGTAAACATACAAAATCTGTAGTCCTAGAGAAGTAAAAAACAAGCAGGACTTCAGGGAAGATGTTTAGTCCTCATTCAAAAGGTCAAACAGGATAAACATCAGATGTAGGAGAAGACAAGGAAGAGCACGGAGCCTTCTACAGATACTTTTCTTTTGTCTGACAATATAACCCTGTGTTTCCTGACCTGAGCCACACAGTGTCTTATACATTTTATTGTTCCTTTGTAGGGTCAAGGCAATTACAATGTGACACGCTATGAAAATATTTTCTCCTTGTTCTTGATTTTGGAGCAACTTCTTCAACAGGAAACCCAGGGAGATGCCACAACACATATCGATCACAGCAGCCCGGAAATCCAGACATTTCTTCACAAGCATGATGAAACTGTGTTCCAACTTTCAGATGCATTTCCTTTATTTACTTTTTACTTATGGAGACTGGGCATTCTCTTGAACTCAGCAGAAATGGAAACTGCCAAGACTGAATCATCTCCCTAGAAGTTTATAACATATCAGAAAATGCTGTGCTTCAATATTTTTCAAAAAAAAAAGTTTTTAAATGAGTATTTTAATTTGATCTACCAACCTAATCATTATTTCAATTTAATGATAAATCTTCTGTATAAAAGATGATAAATCACTGTACTATGTTACAATCAGGCAATTCCAGTTGACAATGCCCCAGTATGTTTGTGCATTATATCTTAATTCATTCAGTAGTCTAGCTCTGTTCTCTAAAATGGCCTTTCTCCTAAAATATAATAAATTGTCAGTGATTTCCATCTGATACAAATCTACAAATTGTAATGAAATAAAGCTTAAACTTCTGTCACTAATACAATTAAATATAAGGTTTAAGTAAATGGTAAAAAATAAAATTTACTATGTAGTTTTATGCATTCATTTTCCCCCTGAAGGATAGTGCTGTAGAAAGAGAAAAGGATTTAGAAACCAATGGCTTTTAATTTTATTTAATCAACATATTTGCAAAGTATTTTTGAAGTGTTAATTCGTTCTTCCTCTCTGTTTTTAAACAATTTTTTCTGTTAGTTAAAAACATTGCTAGGATTGTTAAAATGTGGTAAAGTTGTGCATTATTAAGTCATTAGAGATGCTTTTACAAATTTTAATAACCTCCAAGAAATAAACCTTATACTTATTAAAAGTACCAAGTTTAATTTTTTCATTACACAATTTCCTTTACTTCATTTCAGCTATTAAAGTTATAACAGACAATCTTAATGAGAACATGTTTTGTACTTTTCAATTTTGCAATTTAAAGAAAATATAATTTCTTCCTTCTGTTAATTTTATCTGATTGTGTGTTATAAGTTAATTATTATTTCCAGGTGCCATTAGTACTAGAAAAATTATTCTTGCTAATTTCTTCTATGATGTATATAAAATTATATCATCTTCCAGGATTATTTTTTGGAAGTTTTTTTTTTGTTTGTTTTTTGTTTTTGTTTTTAGCCAGCAAATCTGTTATGGAAAAAAAAATTCTCCTTCAAATGGCTGAATAAACAAGATCAGAAATTGGCAATATCAGTGGACACACTAACATGGGAGGGAGACAACTTCATGGAGTTTTGCTCCTATGTAAAGAACTAAAGGCAACTGTGACTGCTGGGAGAGGGAGAACTCCCCTTCCCCAAGGATGAGCCCCTTATTTGTAATTGCTTGACTTAAATTGCTTAAATTGACTTAATTGCTTTTCTTAAGAATAAACAAAGTCTAGATGATATTTCCAGTTGATGGTATTTATTTAACTGGCATAGATAAAAATTTGACTCTGGTATCTGTTGTGTAAGACAATATGACTAACATTTCCTGAGAATAAAGCACATTAAGTCTTTTAGCATGCGAAGATCAAGAACAGATATCCATACATGGATTAGAGTTAATTCCTCGTCTTAGCCATGGAAAGAAATAAAGCGTTTGAGCCTAGCTTAGGCTGGCTCCAAAATAAAACTTTCTTTTTAGTCAAAAGAAAAACAGATATCTCTATTTCATGACTAGAATTTACAGTATGATCCTGTTTTCCAAGTATGATATGTGGACAAATATGCAGATATGTGTCTATGTAAGTGTGCATACGTGGGGATGCCAAAGCTTAACGAATCTCATTCCTCAGAGATCAGGCCTGTTTGGTTGTTTCAGGTTTTGTTTTGTTTCTTTGTTTCGTTTGAGACAGAGCCTTTACCTGGCACCTGAAGCTTTCAGATCATGTGTGTGGGATTGTTCAGCAAGCTCAAAGGGTTCTGGTCTCTGCCTCTCCAGTGTTTGGGTTTCAAGCACATGCCACCATGACTTTTTACATGTGACTCAAACTCAGGACTACTAGATATGAGTCCTCTGTCAGATAAAGGGTTGGTGAAGATTCTTTCCCAATCTGTAGGCAGTCATTTTCTTTTGATGACGGTGTCCTTTGCTTTACAGAAGCTTTTCAGTTTCATGATGTCCCATTTATTGATTGTTGCTCTAAGAGCCTGTGCTGTTGGTGTTCTGTTCAGGAAGTTTTCTCCCATACCAATCAGTTCTAAGGTATTCCCCACTTTTTTTTCTAGCTGATTTAATGTGTCTGGGTTTATGTTGAGGTCTTTGATCCACCTGGACTTCAGTTTTGTGCATTGTGATAAGTATGGATCAATTTTCATTTTTCTATATGTAGACATCCAATTGGACCAGCACCATTTGTTGAAGATGCTATCTTTTTTCCATTGTATGGTTTTGGCATCTTTGTCAAAGATCAGGTGTCCATAAGTGTGTGGGTTTATTTCTGGGTCTTCTGTTCGGTTCAATTGATCCACCATTCTGTTTCTATGCCAGTACCATGCAGTTTTTATAACTGTTGCTCTATAGTACTACTTAAGATCAGGGATGGAGATACCTCCAGAAGATCTTTTATTGTAGAGGACTGTTTTAGCAATTCTGGGTTTCTTGTTATTCCATACGAAGTTGAGAATTTTTCTTTCCAGGTCTGTAAAGAATCGTGTTGGTAATTTGATGGGAATTGCATTGAATCTGTAGATTGCTTTTGGTAAGATGGCCATTTTTACTATGTTAATCCTGCCAAGCCATGAGCATGGGAGATCTTTCCATCTTCTCATATCTTCTTCTAATTCTTTCTTCAGAGACTTGAATTTTTTTACATACAAGTCTTTGACTTCCTTGGTTAGGGTTACTCCGAGGTACGTTATGTCATCTGTGGCTATTGTGAAGGGTGTTGTTTCCCTAATTTCTTTCTCAGCCCTTTTGTCTTTTGTATACAGGAGTTCTACTGATTTTTTTGAGTTAATTTTGTATCCAGCCACTTTGCTGAAGGTGTTTATCAGCTGTAGGAGTTCCCTGGTGCAGTTTTTGGGGTCACTAACGTATACAATCATATCATCTGCAAATAGTGATAATTTGACTTCTTCTTTTCCAATCTGTATCCCCTTGATCTCCTTCAACTGTCTTATTGCTCTAGCAAGGACTTCCAACACTATGTTAAAGAGATATGGGGAGAGTGGGCAACCTTGTCTTGTCCCTGATTTCAGTGGGATTGCTTTAAGTTTCTCTCCGTTTAGTTTGATGTTGGTTATAGGCTTGCTGTATATCGCCTTTACTATGTTTAGATATGTGCCTTGTATCCCTGATCTCTCCAATACTTTAAAAATGAATGGATGTTGGATTTTGTCAAATGCTTTTTCAGCATCTAGGGAGATCATGTGGTTTTTTTCTTTCAGTTTGTTAATATGGTGCATCACATTGATGGATTTCTGTATATTGAACCACCCCTGCATACCTGGGATGAAGCCTACTTGGTCATAGTGGATAATATCTTTGATGTGTTCTTGGATTCGGTTTGCAAGTATTTTGTTAAGTATTTTTGCATCAATGTTCATAATGGAGATTGGCCTGAAATTCTCTTTCTTTGTTGAGTCTTTGTGAGGTTTAGGTACCAAGGTGACTGTGGCTTCATAGAATGAGTTTGGTAATGTTCCTTCTGTTTGTATTTTGTGGAATAGTTTGAAGAGAATTGGAGTTAGCTCTTCTTTGAAGGTCTGGTAGAATTCTGCGCTGAAGCCATCTGGTCCTGGGCTTTTTTGGAAGGGAGACTTTTGATGACTGCTTCTATTTCTTTGGGGGATATAGGACTATTTAGTTCATTTACCTGGTCCTGGTTCAGCTTTGGTAAGTCAAATCGATCAAGAAAATTGTCCATTTCATTTAGCTTTTCAAATTTTGTTGAGTATAGACTTTTGAAGTAATTCGTAATGATTGTTTGGATTTCCTCAGTGTCTGTAGTTATGTCCCCCTTTTCATTTCTGATTTTGTTGATTCGGGTGGTGTCTCTCTGTCTTTTAGTCATCTTTGCTAAGGGTTTGTCAATCTTGTTGATTTTCTCAAAGAACCAGCTCTTGGTTTCATTGATTCTTTGAATTGTTTTATTTGTTTCTAATTGATTAATTTCAGCCCTGATTTTGATTATTTCCAGCCATCTACTCCTTCTTGGTGTGTCTGCTTCTTCTTTTTCTAGGGTTTTTAAGTGAGACATTAAGTTGCTTGAATGAGTTGTCTCTAATTTCTTCTTGAAGGCACTTAGTGCTATGAACTTTCCTCTTAGCACTGCTTTCATTGTGTCCCACAAATTTGGGTATGTTGTGTCTTCATTTTCATTGAGTTCTAGAAAAACTTTTATTTCTTTCTTTATTTCTTCCCTGACCCAGCTGTCATTTAGTAACAAGTTGTTCAGTTTCCATGTGTGTGTAGGCTTTTTGCTATTTCTGTTGTTGTTGAGGTCCAGTTTTATTCCATGGTGATCAGACAAGATACAAGGGATTATTTCAATCTTCATGTATCTGTTGAGGCTTGCTTTGTGACCAACTATATGGTCTATTTTGGAGAAGGTTCCATGAGTTGCTGAGAAGAAGGTAAATTATTTTGTGTTTGGATGCGAAGTTCTGTAAATGTCTGTTAGGTCCATTTGATTCATGACATCTGTCAGAGACAATGTTTCTTTGTTTAATTTCTGTTTTATAGACCTGCCCTTTGTTGAGAGTGTGGTGTTGAAGTCTCCCACTATTAATGTGTGGGGATCTATATGTGGTTTAAATTTTATCAATGTTTCTTTAACAAATTGGGTGCTCTTGTATTTGGGGCATAGATGTTCAGGATTGTGATGTCTTCCTGGTGGAATTTTCCTTTGATGAGTATGAAGTGTCCTTCCCCATCTCTTTTTATTAATTTTGGTTGAAAGTCTATTTTATCAGATATTAGAATGGCTACTCCTGCTTCCTTCTTGGGTCCGTTTGCTTGGAAAGTCGTCTTCCAACGTTTTACCCTCTGGTAATGTCTATCTTTGTGTCTTAGGTGTGTTTCTTGTATGCAACAGATTGCTGGGTTTTGTTTATGTATCCATTCTGTTAATCTGTGTGTTTTTACTGGAGAGTTGAGTCCATTGATGTTGAGAGAGATTAATGACCAGTGGCTGTTAGATCCTTTGATTTTGATGT